AAATATCCACTAAACCCAAACATCTTTTCCTTAAGTTACTGTACTCAAAATGTTATGAGAACCTAATATAAGACTCCCAGAACAAAGCCCTTGCCTTACCATTAGCCTGCGGTTTTATAGACAAAGTGGCTTGCTGTGTATCGATTTCCTCCATAGCATCACTCATCAGATCTCGTAAAATCTGCTGATCTGCTTCAGGAAGCACCGGTCCACATGAGGATAACTGACCACTGGACTTTACCTATAGACAAAAACCTTAATTAGAATTAGTGGAGGGCTAGGGATTTAGCTCAGTGGTTCTGCCACCTGCCTTGCTAGTGCAAGGTCCCAAGTTGAATCCCCAGTACCAAAAAAAAAAAGGAGTGGAAGATGTGTGCAGTGTAACATATACCTGTAAGCCTGGCTACTCAGGAGCCTGAGGCAGGAAGATGGCTTGACCCGATAAGGTAGAGGCTAACCTGGGCACACAAAGAGACCCTGCCTCAAAAAAAATAAAGCTGAAAATACTCTTTAAGAGGCAATTCCTTGCATTTATTTTGTCCTAGACAATACATTTTACAGAAACAATACTGTTTTTCTATATTCTATCCAGCAGCTGTTATGTTTTCATTTTTTAGTATTGTCACTGTCACCTCAACTCCAGGCAAACAGGAATAAATGTGTGTTATCACTAAAAGGTATACACAGGGAACTGAGATCTCACAGGGGCGATGCCCTGGGAGAGGAAAACTGAGAACTCTGTGATAGCTGGGGAGAGGTTGCTTGTTAAGTTTGATCTGCTCAAATCTAATAGCTGTGAGGACATACACCCTTGGAGACAAAGCCCGGACCCCTCAGGACAGCAGGGGTACACAAAGGACACCACTACATGGTCACTTGTAGGGCTCAACTCCCATACTGCTGCTCCTCCGCTGGTCAGTAAACAGCAGATTCGTCAAATCTAAGTAATGCTTGACTAGAAAATGGAAAGACCAAAGTTGAAAGGGATCATTTAAAGTAACTTTTAATAAACTGGGGAATGTTTTTAAAAAGAGAATAAATATATTGTGAATCACATTAGCAGAAGCAAGGAATCACACACAGAGCTCTGTCACAGTGTCTGTGAACAAAACAGAACGCAATGCCAGTCAGACCTTCATAACAGAGGAACCCTGAACTAAGCAGACACAATTCTGTTCACAGAAGAGGCCATGAAGAAAAATGACCTAAAAAAGACAAATGCTACACAAACGGGACACTGCGCAAGCCTGACAGGAAAGGTCAGAAAGGTAACACTTGGGGCAAAAAAAAAAAATCACTGGACTCAAAAACAAAAGATCTGAGACTGTTGCTGTTTCTTCTACTAATTTAGGACAAATCACCTAAATGATCTGGGATTTCCTGATTTATCTGTAAAACAGAAAATAATCATTAACATCTCTTCTCACTGGGTTGTCATGAAGGGAAAGAAAAACACACATGAGAAAGTACTAAAAGCTGGGTAGCATACAGATAACAAAGGGCAGGGTCTGTTGTAGACGACCTCCTCCGCTGACATGGACCACATCTAGCTCCTTAAAGCACTTTTATATACAATTTGCATACAATACCTCTTACATATGTTTTCTTTTTGCCCTGAGAACCAAAGAAAATAATCTAACTCTGGAAAAAATTACTGTATTAGATTTGTTGAGAAGATTAATGTTCTGACACAAAGAATATCAAAAGATAGAATGTTTTTCCAAAAGGCCCAGGATTCACCTGTACTCAGCTGACAGAGACAGCTGGCTTTTCAGCGTTTCTTTTCTACCTAATGACTGTTGTGGCAATCTGGGTGACATAAGCGTGTCATGCCTAAAGGCAGGGACTGGGGAATATCACTGCAGACTGTACCTTCGACTTCCTCTGAGGGGTGCCAGGCTTCGGGGCCACCTTGTGAGGCGGGTATAGGTCGCCATAGCTCGCAATGTACTGAATGAGGTTCATCAGTGCAGCACAAGAGTCAGAACACGTTCGGACGTGGACGCTATCGCTGGAACAGTGCAGCTCAAAGCGGGGCTCGGTCTGCACAGGACCCAGAGAAAGGAGGGAAATGTGTCCCACACAAATGAGAATTTCTTTTTTTGCATAAATTTACATTAATAAAATACACAATCATTTGCCATGTCACAGGAAAAATGCATGTGCACAATTTCCACTTAATAGCTTACTTGCTCTCCATCTGAATCTGATTTCACCGCAGTTATGGTTAATTCTAAAAGTCCCATATCCATCACACGAATATAATCTAAAAATTGTAAATATAATTAATAAAATGTTTGGTACAGATTTCAAAAAATTCTTATCCAATCAATACCTAACAAAACTATTAATTCTTTAAAATTCACTGTAGATAGTATTACAAATATTTATGTGATAGAATTGCTATACAGTTTCATCTTACAATTTGTTTTTATTTTCGTTTTTCTTTTTTGGCACTGGGGATCAAACTCGGGACCTTGCACTTGTGAGGCGGGCAGCACAATCACTGAGCTAAATATCCAGCCCTACAATTTGTTTTTAGTTAGAACCAAACTGTCTTATACTAAATAAATATTTGGAGTATATATAATTTGAGGCATGTAGCTAATGTGTTATAAAAATATTATAACTTCAAACTAAAGAGCCAATACCTGAAAAATTCTAAATACATGTTACATTATCATTTATACCCTTTTATCTTTAAAGATCTTCAATGAGATCTTTAATTAGCATCCTCCAAAATTAAAACGCTTTAAAACAATCAAACACAAAGAACAAAGCAGTATTAATCTACTACAGATTTTAACTCTCACCTCTATTCAAATTTATAGTGACATTATTACATTTGTCAGAGAGATGTAAAGCAGCCTCATCCATGATTATTCTGCAGAAAAAAAAGATAAAACCAACATCTGAAAAGTTAAGCTTTGAACATATACCACATGATCACTGCATACTTAATGGCATCTTTATTTTTGATATGGACATTTTCAAACTTACATGCATTTTCTAATATAATTTTTTAATTCATTGTTTATGGCTGTTAGAAGTATTTAAATGGTGTAAAGAATTAGAGTAATCACTTGCTCAAATAAATTCTTAATTTTTGGCAAGTTTTTCAAAAACAGATGCACAAATTCACAAGGTGCTTGTTTTGTTTTGTCTGAATGGGGAACAAACTCAGTGCCTCTGCAATGAGCAACATCCCCAGCCCTTTCTTATTTTCTATTTTTGAGACAGAGCCTCACTAAATTGCCCCAGCTGGACTAAAACTCCTGCCTCAGTCTCCTGAGGGCTGGGATTACAGTTGTATACCACCACATGTGGCTTCCAAATTCTCAAGGTTTAATTCATGAGGATAGAGTGGGTTCATGGAAAAGTTTACCCTACGTTCAAAAAGGCAAACTAAAACTCCCAAGAATTAAAGCACACAATGACAAGAGGAAAATAAGAAAAGTCAGGGCTGGGGATATAGCTCAGTGGTGCTGCCGCCTGCCTCGCAAGTGCAAGGGCCTGAGTTCGAGCCCCA